TTCTGGACCACAAGTTCTCCTTGAAGCTCGACGCTAAAGGGCTCGGCCTCATTCAAACGTCAAAAGTAGTCTATGAGTTCTTAGTTTGATAAAGATTTCAAGTCTGCCTCCCGCACCTGAATCACTGTTGTGATTGTCATCGATAGTTGTTGTTCTCTTCTTTTTAGAGGACCCACTGGTACAAGAATATGTTAAAACTAATCTCAATTCATATGCAGCAATTTTTCACGCCCCTGACGGTTTAATATCAAATATCACACAATGACGATACCATCACTCACAAGCCAATGCGGGCCATGCAGGGAGAGCTAGACTATGGCAACTAAGAGCGTCAGCGGCCTCGCGCAGCGTGGCGGCCGCGCCGCCGAAAAGGAAGAGTTTTCCAGGGCGGGTGACGGAGCAGATCTCGGCGAGGGCCGAGAGAGCCATGAACGAGTCGCCCAGCAGACGAAAGCGGGGTGGGTGAAAGTTGATGACGAAGGCCAGGCGCGCAGACACCAGCAGCTTAGTTAACAGGCCCATACCATCCGTCAGGACCCATTGTAAGGCGGCTGCCAGCGGGAGGGCCTGCGAGGAGCCGAGGCCCAGCGCGCAGAAAAGCGAGGTGGCGCTGAGGACATAGTAAGCGGAGCGGGTTAGCTGGCGCGAGATGAAGAGGAGGATGAAGCGGAAGTAGTTTTGCGCGACATCGGAGGGGTAGCCGCGAGGGAGGATGATTTGCAAGGGGGAGATGGTAATAGGGGGGTGCGGGTCTCCTGGATGGGAGTTGGGGGACGGTGGCGGGTCGGAGAGGGCGATGGGGCGCCAGCGGGGTGTGAGGGAGACAGAAGGGCAAGGAAAGTCATGAATGAGAATAGCGCTTCGCTAGATTGCCTCGTGAACATCGATTGCGTGAATGATGCGCACATTAAAAAGAGTGTCAAATTTCAAAAGTACCGCGAGTCCCCAACGCACATTTGTCCTCGTCCGTCTTCGAGCAGCCAAAAAGATTTAGATTGGAGCGTTAATCAACGAAGAGTGCTAGGGAGCACTGTAAAACGGTTTGAGAACTATCATCTATTGAGAACACTGCAGATGAGAAATGAGAAAAATATGTTGGGTGATCTCACTTTACATCTACAGCAGCATCATTCAAGATAGTTGCGTTTTGATCATGATAACACTGTCACCCTTTGTTAGAACACTCAACAATTCCAGGGAGAGCAAGAATGCACTGGAAGAACACTATTTGTCCTACTTTTGCACTAGTGTTCTAGGCGGTCCAAAATGGGGAAAGAAAATCCCCGCTACGCCCCGTCTGTTCGACTTTTTTTAAGAAAACCCACATGCTCGGAACTGTAACGCTGAACTTGTTCGAAAGAGCCTACTTTGGGCTCTTAAGTTGGAAGAGGTCTCGAGCAAGGGGAAAAGAACCGAATGGAGCGGGAAAAAAGCGTCACAAAAATTTGGCGCAGGGCTAAGAGACTGTCATTACATAAACTGCGTAAGTGATCCCAATGGTGGAAACTTCTAAGCGTCAAGATTCTCGGATTGTCGACGGGCTCTGTGGAATAAAGCTTCCCATGCCTTAGCCGATTTGAAACTCGAAACCCTTTGATTTGTGACACCAATAAACAAAAAACCGTTGTGCCTGATGAACGGGCGCTGTTGACAGCACGTGGAGAGGAGGAGAAGCCCTCTCTATAAAAATCTCTCGCCTTCACTAAGGTCGTCCGTAAAGTCATGAAAACCTGTGTTTTGGCGGCGAGTTTGCTCGGATTTTCTGAACGCAAAATTTTCAAACAACGCGTTTGGCAAAACTCACAGAACACCGAAAGCTGGGGGCATGTGAGTTTTCCACGAGTTTCACATCCGCCTGATCACAGCAGTGCCGGATCGACCCGTTTTGAAGGAAAACAAAGTGGGTTTTCCTTTCTTTTCATCAGCACAAACGAGTCTCAGACTGCACGGGTCGTATCGATATGGGTCATGGATGCTCCTATCGCTTCATCTGCGCATAGTCCATCAATAGATCAAAGCGCGCCACAGATGCCGCCGAAGCAAGCGCGAAGGATAGAAAAATAGAAGCTTCTAAAAAGCGGTCCTCTCCAAACGGCCCCCCTCAGTCTATCAAGAGGACGAAACACATCGCCCTTTCGACTGAGAACCTTTCTATCCTTGTGGCGAGCTACAATATTCGCGTCAGCAAGTATTCGCGCAGGTGCACGTGATCCGTCTGGCGGCACAACGATGTACCAGACTTGCGTTTGTTGCGGGCAGGTACCCTTCCCGGAAAGGTCAATTCCGGACAACTTTGGCGCCGCAGCCCTTGCACTCTCGTGGCATCCCCGTGACGAATTCCGAGCTGACCAATGGAGAAAGCACACCTCTCGCTATTTCCTGGTGGGTTTTTGCGCCAAACTAGGGTCAGGAACTAAAACAACAAGCGTGACAAAACAAACTAACCGTTTCACAAAATTTTACGACAACGGTTAATTCCGGACAGAACATTTCTTCGCCAGGACAGCCGAAACAATTTGCCCAACAATAGCTTTAGATATCTTCCAGCTTTCTCTTTGTGCTCGCGACTTCTTTCGACTTCCCCTACAACCCTCTGACCCTTTCAAGCGCACCTCAGAGCCTCTTGCTGTTGCCTTTTTGCGTCTTTTCGAAGCTTTTTCCTCAGTAGCCAGACGTTTTTGGTCCTTTAACCTCTTTCGCTCATCCTCGCGAGAATTCCTCTTCCTCAGAGCTGCCTCTTTCTTAGCATTACGTAGGCTCTCAGCCGCTTTTCGACGCTCATGCTTTGCCAATTCTGCCACCTGTTGGGCATTTTCCCTGTCAAGACGACGCTGAATCATGAGTCCGACAGTCAAATGTTCAGCGGGAGCCCCGCAGTAGAGTCGCACGTTTTTTGGTGGTGTGTTGCTGCTCTTTGCAGTAGATGTCGATTGTGAAGACACAGTGTCCATTACGATGTTGTTAACCGTGCCCGAATTTTGCAGCAACATGCTTAAGCGCTGCAGTTTTAAAGAGGGTGCAAGTTCGCTGTTCATAATGCTGTCAGCCTTCTCTACAGTCTCCAAATCCGGCGTGCGCTCCTTCGTGTGGGGAAATAACTCCGTGTTTTGAGGCACTGCTGGTCTCGAAACCGCCGCATCAAGTGGATTTTCAGCACTGACAGCAGTCTGCTTCCGATCTAAAAACGTCTGAGCAAATCCTGGATTGAAAGGATACAGTCCAGTTCTGCTGAATGAATCCCGAACACCTTGCGTTGTGATGCGCGAGAATGCGTAAACTCCGCATATAAGGTTAAACTGTACGCCTCGTGTTGACACCGTTTGAGATTTGTAGAATTCATCTCGGATCTCGCGAATAGCAACCTTGAACTCCTTGTTGACCATTTGGTCACAAGGTTGTAAAAAGTGGGATGTGTTAGCGGGTGAACACACAATTTCACAATTGTTCTTTTCACAAACCTCGAGCTACTTCAAAACATTACGTGATGCATGGCCATAAAGAGAAATAACATAGTGTTGGCTTGTGTTGACAAACTTGCGGACAAAATTATTGAGGTGTGTCATGTATGCGGCAAGTAGATCCATTTCCATCGATCCATTCTCACTGCACTTTACGACTCCGTCAGCCGGGAACCACCCATGGCATTGAAACGGATGGCAATCGCTTCCACTTTTGCCAAGCATTTTTGGCAAAGGCTCCAGCCAACTTGACATGACATATTTTCCAGCCACTATGAAGAACGGTGGAGCGACTCGACCAGATGCTGAAACTGCAACAACGGCAGTTATGTGTTTGTCTACTCCTTGTGTCTTGGAAGAGGCTATGAAACCACCATGATGCGTATCGGAGGGGCCAAACACTTTTTTACGCTTGCCGAATGTTGCATCAACCGCAGTTTCATCTATGTCCCAAACACGATCCCCATCAAGCAATATTACGGGATGTTTGTCGTTGATAGTCTTTAATATTTCGAAGTAACGTGACACATGACCGAATGATTCTCCTTTCAGCTTTGCCTTGTCTTTGCATTCGTAATTTCGAAATGTTAGTTCTCGATGACGTGATCTAAAAGATCGCACTGCATCGTAACTAGGGATGCCATTCTTCCAATTCACACGGCCATCGGCAGCTATTCTAGCCATCATGCTCCTTAATGTGTCAACATCGGCAGCAAATCCACGTTGTGCGGCAAAAACAAGGCGCTGTGCTATCATTTTTTCCTCATCTTCTGTCAGAACCATCCGTCTCCCTGGTTGTGACAGTTTCCTATCTGTCTCCTGGTAGCTGATACTTTCAGAATCTGATCTCCGGACCAGCTCTTTAAGTTCCCCAACAACCGACTCACTCAAACCTGTCGCTTTCGATATGGCACGCAACGACATTGTTGTGTCTCTCAAAAGCTGCACTGCGGCAGCTTTGCTCTTCATGCGCTTCGAAGCCTTCTCATTCTGCCTTTTGGTCCGTTTTGTCTGCCGTCTCATCGAGAATGCCATTGCGGTGTGGCCAAAAGGTGACTTGGCGACTGTAAAAGACTATATAAGATGCTATCCCTAATTGTCATTGACGGAGACCGCTATAAACGCACCGCCCTCGCGACTTTGAATCTACGTCACGCTCAGGGATCCCGCCTTTTCTGATTTTGAAAGCTACCAGCGCACTGTCCTTGCTGTTGTCTGCCCTTTGGCTATGTTTTGTGGCCCTTGCATTCATTGGTGATGGTTCACTGGACGCGGGTTTAATTTTGTCCGGAATTGACCCTTGTCCAGAATTGACCTTTCCGGGAAGGGTAAATGGAAAAAACAACGCGTTATTTTACGGACAACCTTACTGCAAGGCCAGCTCTCTTCGTCAGAGCTCCACTGTTTCTCTTTCCGGGCAGCTTTGCCGGCTCCACAGTTGACCCCGAGCAATGATGTTTTCTGTTCAACTTCAACGACGGTTGTGCATGCCATCCGAATCCTGAAGCCTCGTTCCTCCCCACAACCACTTCCATAGTTTCAATGGTGCGTCACTCCCCCAGACCTGACTCCTGGCGTGCAGTCAACCCTTTAGAGCAAATCATGCTCGAGCCCTACACGCCCTCCAAGCCCGATATCATCACCGTAATCTTCTCTCTCAACTCCTCAGTCACCACCACGTTCTTGCACGAAACTCTGCTCCCCCGCCTCCTCACGCACCCCCGTTTCTCCGCCCATCTTGTCCGCTCCGCCGGCGGCACCTTCCGCTTTGAGCCCGACCCGAATCCCGACTGGTCCTCCCACCTCATCTGCGAACCGTCCCTCTCCGATCAAACCAGCGAGGACCACCACCATCTCTTCAACGCTCGCTTGGCCGATATCATCTCCACCCCGCTCGACCTTACTAAGCCCCTCTGGCGCACCCATTTGTTTTCCAACTGGTCCATCTCGCGCGGTGAGTGCAACGCCTGTACCCTTGTCCTCCGCGTCCACCACTCCCTGGCCGATGGTGTCGGCCTCGTTAAGTATTTTCTGGCTACCGTTGTCGACAAGGACGATCATGACAACCCGGCTCGCCTTCTTGTTCCCACCAGAAGATCCACTGGAAATCCCGAGGTCCGCTCCGGGTATTTCACATGGATCCGAGACTACTTCCATGATATTGCCCGCATTTTCATCAGGCCGTTCTTCAAGGACCCAGTGTGCGTTCTCACCCGTGCCACAATGACGGAAAAGAATATCTGCGCGCTTGCGGCCCCCGAGCAAGTCACTGTGGCGACGCTCAAGCTCGCTGCCATGCAGCTCAATGTAACAATCAATGACTTGATGTTTGCTGCGTTTTCGGGCGCCGTCAGGGAGTACGTTACGAGGTTTGGGGAAGACCCGTCGGCGCTGAAGGGGCTGAATGTGGCCATGCCATTCAATTTGCATGTGTTTAATGAGTTTTCGATGAGCGATGTATCGAACCAGCTGCTGATGGTCCCTGTAGCACTGCCAGTACACCTAAGAGAGCCCACAGAGAGGTTGCTCGCGTGTTCCAAGTCGATGAAGCGGCTGAAGAGGAGCTATCAGCCGATTTTCGCGACTGTGGCCATGCGCCAGCTTGCGGTTTTGCCGGCGGCCCTTAGGAGAAGGATGTGGCATGTGGTGGCAAGCTCGGCGTCGGTGCTGTTTTCAAACGTGGCAGGGCCCACGAAGAAAATGCTCATCGGAGGTGTAGCCGTCGATGAGGTGTATTTCTTTCCCCCACCTGATGCGCATGTTGGTAGCGATATTGGCCTGTTTTCGTATGCAGGAAAGGTTTTTATAGGGGCGGCAGGGGATGCTAATAGATTGGCTGAACCGCAAAAGTTGCTTGATTACCTTGTAGAAGAGCTTTTGGGATTTTTTGAGCTAGGGAAGAGTGTAGCTCGTAGTGCTCCCATCGAACGATAACAAACAGAATAGGCCTCTCTATATTTAAGAATTCAGCCCTGGATTTGCAGCTGCTGCACAACAACGGTTTTCGTTGAACCGTGATTGAAGGGGTTGGTGTCACGAGCAAATAGAGGTCCTGTGGTCATTCCACAGACTCTCTGATTGTGGGAAGGAGACATAGTCTTACAAATTGGAGGAATTGGAAACTATCCCCTGCATTGCGTATGAGAGTGCGATGATAGCGCTTCTGAAAGAACTGCGATTAAGGTCGAGGCATGTCCGATGATCTCGGGGATTGCAGCAGAACGCGGCACACCGTCTGAGAGTGCTCGATGGTCAAAAAAAATCTGTTGGGCTGAGAGGTGGCTAAACCCGTACAAACGTCATCAGAAGAATTGCGAAAGTCCATAGCAAGATTATTACACAGCAACTTTACTACGGGTCTTATATGCAGTCGTTAACTATAGACATGGGAAGAATTTATCCTACCGAGAAGAAGCCCCGGTAGGATAGAAACTACTAGTGTCTAGACGACAAGCAATTTGACCTCATATGAGGTCAGTCATGGCCTCATATGAGGCCAGCTTTTTTTTTGCAAAAATATATAAATTAAATCGAAACTTTAAAACATTCAGTTTGGACACCATTTCTTTAACGTATACGCGCTCGGCAATAACATATTGTAAAACATTGGGATAGCGGTTGTCAATGCACAGAGAGACTAAGAATCTAATGAAGTATCAATGATGAGTTGACTTTTTAAACAGGCGTTTTGGTTTCGAAGATATCAACATAAAACGTTTTGAGGTTGGTCAAAAAAGGCTCCTTTTTGGGCATTTCAAAAATGGCTGGAGAAGACGTGCAGATCTCACCAAACTCCACCCTTCCACAACGCAGAAGTCAACTGCCGTGTCGAGAGTATCTTTTTTCCATCTTGTTGAGCTAGCGCAAGTCGAGAAAAATAAGTTGAAAAGTGACCTCATATGAGGTCATTTGTCACCTAGACACTAGTTTCATCTCTTCTCTTGAACAGCACCTGTCGCAAAATAAAATATGCCTGACGATACCAGTGTGACATGGCGTGATGAGAATGTCACAACGAAGCGTCTGATTGACCTCTTTCGGCGTCACGCGTGAGATATACTGTACATACAGCAATGTAACCTATACCATGACCTACGTCAAGTTTTGGATCCCGTTTTCCCGGGAACGAGCTTCATGCGAACAAGTCATAATGTGGACAACCCTCATACCAGGCTCGCACCTCTGCGACCAGACAGAAACACAGCGCGAACTAAAGTTTACTAGAACAGCTTCAAGGCTCTCGCGGCCCCACACTTTCTCGCAAACAGACGCTGTGTCAGCAAGCAGTTCCCATGCAGCGTTACCTGCTCACACGAACTGCACTTGGATTGGAACAGTTGTTGTAGAGGACACGGACTATCAAAATGTCAAAGGCTCAACGCAAAGAAGACAACGACACCTCTTCTCGTATCAACATCAATGAATTCAGACGAGTGCCGAAAGAGTCCAACCCGGAGAACTGTAGATTGCAAACTCCTCTTCCGCACCTCGACACGACCCTTGTCACCGACAGGAAGTCATCGCGAGGTTCCCGTGTTCAAGCAATTTCTTCGGCTGCACATGCTTCGCGCCCCTCAAAGCTTTCAGCTATGATCACGCCGATGAATTCTGGCGTGGCTCACCAGATTCGAAGTGCACAAGTGGTTCTGGATCCTGCTTCTGTCATTAAGGAGCTTCTGGAAAACGCCTTGGACGCCGACGCCACCCGTATCGATATCAGGGTCCGCGGAAAAGCGGCTCTTGATAGCATTGCTGTGTCAGATAACGGTAATGGGATACCACGCAACGATTATAATTCCTTGTGTCTCAGCGCATCCACATCCAAGATAAGGAACTTTGAGGATCTAGATTCAATCATGACGTTTGGTTTCCGCGGTGAGGCGTTGTCGGCGATTTGCGCTATTTCAAAGTCTGTCTCGTTTGTGACCAGGACAAAAGAAGACTCGGTTGCCACTTCCTTGAAATATGGACAGGATGGTTATTTGCAAGAAAAGCGTCCCGTGGCACGGCCTACAGGCACAACTGCCCTTGTCGATGCCCTGTTTCACAAGCTTCCCGTTCGTAGGAAGGACGCCGTAAAGAATTCCTCAAGGGAGATAGCTCGATGTGTATCTGTGGTTCAGGCTTTGGCTCTAGTTTCTGTGGGTGTACGAATTGAACTGAAGATATCCCAAGACATCAAAGTTCTCACGCATTTAAACGCATCCGGCGCTTTGATACCACGACCTCAACCTTCTCATGAGAAACCCCTGAATTTGCGCGCACTGCGCCACACTGCGTCATGTGTTCTTGGCAACAAAACAGCTACTGCGCTCCTGGACCTTTCCTTGTCAAAAATTGCGTCTGTCTCCCTACCAAGATCTGGTGCTAGCCCAAATGCGCGAGCTGATCGGGACGACAATACATCCAATCGACATTACTGTTGTTCCGGCCTCGTCTCGAAAGCTTCACTGGATGCCAACGGATCTGGCGGAAGAGCGAAATCATCGCATCAGTATATATTCGCAAACAAAAGGCCGGTTGATTTCCCACGCTTGACTCGGGCTGTAAACGAGCTCTATCGACGAATCACTGGTTTGAACGGAGCAACTCCTGTACTGATACTAAACTTGGACCTTCCTGTAGGTAGCCATGACGTGAATTTGTCTCCAGACAAACGTGACTTTCTAATCCGAGATGTGAGCGACGTTATAGCCGGAGTCATTTGCCAACTTGAGGCACTGTGGTCACCGAAGAAGGCTGCTGAGATTCCCGTACAAAAGTTAAATTTCAGAACTGAACCCATTAGTCTGCTTTCAAATTCCCGCGGAATTGCGATGGATATGCTCAATCAACCAAGGCCATTGAAGGAAACCGATGGAGAAGAGGAGGTAAATGAGGTTCGTAAAGTCGACCCTTCTAGAGAGAATGTGCATGTCTATCAAGGCACAGCAGAGGTTGATAAAACTGGCAGCCAGCTTTCCCTCGACAACAAGGGCCAAATCTTACAGTCTCCGGAGAGTACCTCTGTGCCAGCATTGAGCATGCCGTCCGTACCAGTGGGGCTAGAAGTTGAGTCTGACCGGCCGGACCATGACGAACATGCGATTGTTGGGGTGGACTCTACCTTCGAGACTGAAAGGAACCAGTCAAGAAGCGCATCTTCGCCTTTTTCTCTTGATTTGTCAAATCCAAAGAAATCTGGGTTCCATGCGACACTGCATAAAGCGAGGTCGCTGACAGATCGGAGACGGATTTTGACAACGCTTTGCCCCTCAAAGCGAAACGTAGGTGCATTTGTATCCCGACAGGTAGAGAACTTCGGTACACCTGCGAAGAAGAAGAGAATGACCTCATCTGCTCCATTGCCGTTGTCAAGGAATTGCAAAAGTGCGCGAATATTATCATCCAACGTTCCTGAAAAGCGAAATTGTCATCCCGGGAGTGTTGATGAAGGTACTGAATCACCTACGAGGTGTATTGACGAACCAGGGCCCCGCAGTCGCAGCCCTGTTCGTCAGACCCCATCTGTTTTGAAGATGAACTGGAAAATTGTGTGCGAGGAGCAGGTAGCTGTTGGGAGCCCACATGTATTGCGCGGAGGCAGTAGTTCGGATGAGGAAGGCGGCGAAGTACAGACCGACGCCGCGTTTAAAAAGTCGTCCGTGGCTGCCGAGAGCACAGTGGAAGGGTCGGCTATAGATGCAGCGGAACTAGAGATGAGTAGACTCTTTCGGCAAGAGTGGTTCCGAAAGCTGAAGATTCTTGGTCAGTTCAATAGAGGCTTCATCATTGGTCAACTTGGTCGTGATCTGTTCATCATTGATCAGCATGCTTCTGATGAGAAGTACAACTTTGAAGACTTGCAGCGTTCTACAGCAATATCAAAGCAGAAACTTGTGCGCCCACTTGCCCTAGAATTTTCGGCTCAGGATGAGTTGATTGTTCTGCAGCATAAGGAAGCGTTCCGTGCTGGAGGGTTCGATATTGACTATAGAGCGAAAAAGAACCCGACTCAACGGCTTTACCTGCGGTCACAACCAGTGAGCAAAAGCACGATGTTCGTGCAAGATGACTTAAAGGAGATTGTCGCCATGCTGAAGTCAAGTGTGCTACAATCGTCAAGTCTAAAAGTGAAGGTACTTAGACCACCACGAGTAAGGGCTATGTTTGCATCAAGAGCATGCCGCAAATCAGTTATGATTGGAACTGCACTGCAGAAGTCGCAAATGCGAAAAATTGTCAACAACTTGACATCTATTGAACACCCGTGGACCTGTCCACATGGTCGACCCACAATGCGACATCTCTGCACACTTCCAGAACCCCACTGAACTAGGAGAGAGATAGAACGTACCCTCGTTGGCCGCCAGGGTTCTGGGGCGGAAGCTTAATGCCCTTATTCCTTGTCAATACTAAGACTAGATGCTATTGCCTACTCGTGTGTGGTAAAGTTGTACAACGTGTCAAAGTCTATTTAAACTGACGAAGATTCGGAGAAGAAGTCGCGGCTTCCAAGCAGGCTATTTCTTGTTTCATTCTTCGATTCTGATTTCTACATGATTGATCAAGGACCGTGTGGGGAATGGCCATGCCTGTATGTTCAGGTTGCCTACCCTGAAAAGCTGCCATGTTAAGTCAAGAGCACGAAAAACATGCATCTACGTTCATCTCGTTTTATTCTCTACGTTGCATATACGTTCATCCGCCGCATTGCATTACATTTCATCTACTGCCTTTGTAACAAAGAACCACATGTGTCAACAGGGATCCTGGAAACGCCAACCCCCACAACGCGTGATTGTATGTTTATGCCTTCGTTTACGAGTAAACGGCACGGCAGTACCAAGGGTACAGTACGTCCATACAGCACAGTCCATGGAAATGGGATGTCCAGCAAAGGCCTGGCGTTTGGTTCTATGACATGTAAATGTCTTTACTGTACGGTACCCTTGGTACAGTACCAATATTATCAGGGCGGAGTATAGACCATGAAACAAACTCTGGCTCACGCACAGCATCCAAACGTACAGACGCGTTCTTACTGTAACAAGCGTTATTGTACATGCATACAACACAAGCAGTTCGCGGCACCTCATGATCGAAGTGGCCCTATTCACAACACCACTCGCAATGGCTGCAATCTATGCCCAGCCCAAAAATTACTCCAGCCGTTGATCCGCTGTGAAGGTGAACTTGTCTATCCCAATGCTTGTTGCCTTCGAGATCCGAACCTAGTTGACCGCTTTGCTTATGTCAAGAAGCAGTTGTATTTCCGAGCTAAGCAACTCGACGAAGCGCTGCGGATTACTAATACGGCCTTTGTCACCTGCTACTCCCATCGCGATTTTGTCCATGTACGAAAACATGCCTAAGACAACACCAGCGTGTCCATCGGCTGGCGCAAAGAAGTGCAGCGATGAGACCTTCACGCCCCCTATATGCACCGCTTCTCTCGGCCCCGGAACATTGGTAAAGAGAAGGGAAGTGGCCCGTGTCAAATACCTCCAGAAGGCTTTTCTGGGAAAGCGGGGCATACGGGCAACAAGTTGGATGAGGCCCATGAGTAGCACAAGTTGATTGCTTCTCTTCGCCCTTCGAAGAGTGCGGACACACACTTCAAATCGTTTCATTCGATCCTCTTCGTCGACGTGAAGATTCAATGCAATTATGGCAAAAACGTTCGAAACGTCGCTCAAGGAGAAGGAATCCAGCGCGTGCTCATTGAAGGGAATTGCACACCTGAGATGCTTCAGTTCATCTGGATTATCTCCGTGTTCCTTCAAATATAGCCTCGACGCTCCCGCAACAGCGGTGTAGAGCAAGTCATTAATGGTTACACCAAATACACGAGATGCGTTTTTCAGCATTTGAACTGTGAAACTGGAAGGCGGCATGAGGGCACAGACCTTTTCTCTCTGTATGGTCGATCTCGTGAAGACACTGACTGGGTCTGTGAAAAGCATGCGCACGGACGAGAGGTAAACATCTTCCACAAATTCCCATCCGCGTTGAAGCAAACCCGGCTCCGGAACGCATATTCGCATGTTTCTCGTCGTATGCCTTTGTTCCGTCACGGCTGGTGTCGGTGAGACCTGCTGTTTTTCTGGGTTGGATGAGTGGACTTGGTTGCGAAGCTTTTTAAATTGTCTTTCAGGAACGACTAGCAATCGCGATTGCTCCTCCTGGGATGTCTTATCGATGATTTCGGAGGTAAAGTACTTTACAAGTCCTATGCCATCAGAAATGGAATGATGAACACGAACGACGACCATACAACACTCTTTTTCCACGCTTTCATCATGATCAACAATTGACCATTGCGGGAAAAGCGTAACTTTCCACAGGGGCCTCTCCCTATCCAATGGTGTAGTCATGAGCTCAGAGAGTCTGTCTTGGAAGATTTTTTCACGCTCCCTATTGCTTTTGTCCTCCCCACCAACGTGCTGGACATCAAACTGGTGCATCATCAACTTTTCATTCTGGGGAACGAAGTCTGGAACGGATTCAAAACGTAGTTTGCCCTCCTTTCCTTCAATGACTACGCTGCTAAAACGCGGATGCTTAAGGATTCGGGGCAAGACAACCTCCTTCAACCAAGTCACATTCACGTTGCGTTCTAGAGCAATGCACGTTGTTATTACCACAGGGTTGTCTGGTACAGACTCGTCTGCCATCAATTGCTCAAAAGGTCAAAACGTTTGCCAGGAGAGGTCTGTCATTGCTCTTTCGCCGGGGACGGACAAGTGATGAACAAGTGAACGCTGCACCAATGGAAGGTTGTGTAGGCACAGAAACACCTGCCACTGAATGCGGGGAAAACTATGTAGTGTACATGTGTGTGTGTGCCTTTATAGTGCTACGGGGCATGGTAGTCGACGGAACAAAATTGCCTCCCACTGTGAGAGATCAGAGAGGGCGAGCTAAAGGTAGAGTTTGCATCCCGATGTGCGACCGAAAGGTCCTGATTTTGGTCCTCTTCCCGCGAGCCGCAGACGGTGCTTTACGTGAGGCAGCACAGTGCTCCTCATACTGGTGGTGCTCATGAGGGCTATGAGAGATGGGCAGTGAAGCAATGTTATGGCCAGGACGCCACGTGGTCATGTAATTGCTCTAGGGATGTATGGATAAGGTGTCATTACAGTACATTACTGTACTGTACGACAAACAAATTGCCTCATATTGCATGCTTCAGACTGGATCTCGTACACAACATACGAATAATATACATTAAATCGATAATTTAGAAAGTCATTTTAGACTCTATTTCTTTAACGTGCTTGCCCTCGCAATAACATCTTGCAGAACATCGGGACAGCAGTTTTGAAAACAATAAAAGACTACGGGCGCTGCGCGGTACACACACTCTACCGTCCTACACCACTTTTCAACTCTGTTCGTCCTTCTCCGGGAGGGATGAGTTTTGATTCATATGCCTTCCTTCAGGCAATTGCACCTGTTCGCGCCTCTAGTTTCTTTCCATCAAATGCTTCATGTTCAGCTCCTGCTGGCTTGAAGAGAACCAGAAAGAGACGGACTAGTCCTTCCATCCCGCCCTACACGACATGCAAAGGACATGGCGAGAAATGCGTGAAAATCCTTTTCATCCCCGACAACACCCAAGTCATGGCGACGCCCGGCGAGAGACTCTCGGAGGTAGCAAGGAGGGCTGGGGTGGAGATAGTGGAAAGCTGCGGAGTAGGGGACTGCGGAACATGTGAAGTCTTACTCCGGGACGAAGTTTCCGGAGACGGATTTTACATTAAGTCATGCATCGCAAAGATATCAAGTCACAAAGAGAAGCTCGTGATTGATACAGTAGGGGATGGGATCCCTCCATGGTGATAATGACGTAGCGAAACATCAGCCACTGATACATGCTTTAAAACTCACAAGCTGTTTCTCAAACGCGCATAAAAATGGTACAAATCTGACGCTTCATGAAACAAGCATGCCCTGCTGACTAGGAAAAAACGCTGCGCATACCTTGTCCTCTCTCCGCACATTATTCAAGTGCCAATGAGAAACCAAACTTGGCTGAGTCAAAATTGGTTGTGTTGAACTTGCTAGACATGATTAAGGTTGTATTAGGTCGTACATTCTGGATATACGAAAGCGAGAGAGTACCCGCCGAGTCTAGCTTGCCTTTGACGGTGGTAGCGCCGTCCAGACGGTAGGCACTTCCGACGCAAAGCGAGGTTGCGGCAGATTCGCGCACGTAAAGCACTTGCGCGCCCACGGAAAAGCCTGGACGCACGTGGTGCGAGTAGCTAATCATACCCGACTTTGCTTGATCCAACACGTGAAGCGTGCATTCACTTTCGCGCCCATCAAAGAAACTCAGCGCATAATTGAGCTTCGACACCTCCTTATCCGCTATATTGTACTGCGTCTCCGCACCTGCAACGGCAAACCCTGAGTACTGAGAGCTCGAAATGGCGACTGCAGCCGAGCCGGTAATATGAGACGCCAGTACATCAGCGCCAATCTTGATGCCCAGCGGTCCGCTGATAAATTCGACGTGGGATTTGGCCAAGTTGCGGCTGAAATCTCCAGCCACAGTGTAGTTGCGGCCGTCTGAGTCCTTTGTTTCGTACTTTGCTTCGATGATTGGGTCTTTGGCACCGGTCTGCAGCTTTCCGGTTACTGTAGCGCCCCTCGCCTTCAATTTGGTGCTAACTTCAGCAGCAATGGCGTCGTCTTTGGGATTCTGGACGCCGGTTACCGTGTAGGAACATCCGTCCTGGGTCTTGGAGGCGACCTTGATTTTGTTAGTGAAGATATAGTCATCCGTGAGGAGCTCTGAGAGTTGATTTGGGTAAGTATTGGAGCGCGTGAGGGTAGTTAAGTAGAAACGAAACGGGTTTGGAACGTTTGTTAGAGAATGACGAGGGGTGGACTAAACGAAGCTGAATGATAAATACCACGCTGTGCTCTACTGTGAGAGACTGATTGCATCGTGCTCGGAACTTACTTTTTGCCACCTTGCCGATATCACTGTACATCTTCATTTTCTGATCAGAAGGGAAACTGTCCGGAGAGTCCGATGATCGGCAGGACGACAAATATATGGAAGAGTAAACGGGAGGCGTGTGGTCGAGAGCCGGTGAGGGGGTAATAAGTAGGATCGAAGTACCAAGGCCTACAGTATGTACTTCAGTCTCCTCAGGGAGACATGAGAATAACCCGGACCTGCAAAGCCTTCGAAGCCTTTCATTACACTCTGTGCCCCACATTACAGTTACGACAGAACTCCTACCACATGACAGTTTGACACAAAGCTGAAAATCTCTTCATTTATTGATTGTAATATACAGTGTATAGGAAAGCAGCAACGATCAATATCTCATTACAGTACTAACCTCAGAGGCACTACATCCAGAAAGCAATGGGATTTCGCTAACCGCATTGGCAGATCCAGTCAAGGGGTCTCTGTCCTCCGGCTGGGCTATAACACTTCTTGTTCACGTCCGAAACCCATACACCTGGTTTGGTAAAAGGCCACCAGAAGGCTCTCGGCCATTGCGCTGGAATAAATCAGCGAGTCAGGGAACAACGCAAAACTAACGTACATAGCAGTCGCACTTCCATAAACAATGTCAACCCCACTACAGTGCAAATGATTTGGTGTGTGTAAGAGTGCACTCCACAACCGATGCCGTGCCAGAAACAGAACACTATGCCGTGCGGTTCAATAAACATCCATCAAGTAGTTGAAGTACCGGACGCCGTCAGTACATTCACTTTTGCCCGTTTCCCACCCACAGCATTCCCCAGAGCCCACGCAAGCCGCATGGCAAGCTCCCGACATTGAGTATCGTACGGACGGTGCTTGACGTCATAAAAACACATCACAGCTTCAATTTTTCCGGTTATGGTCACGGGCACAGCAAGGCAAACCTTAACGCCATGCTCGCGAGCCAAACTGCATCTCTTGAAGTTCTTTGGGTCTGTCAGTCCAGTCACCCATTCAGGGCGCATAGCTGACCACACCCGGCCCTGTACTCCTTCATTCGCCTTGAACGAGTAAGACTCCGACTGCTTTGAGAAACGATCAAGACTAGAGGCGCCTTGACCATAAACGTCATTTGAAATCGAAGTGCAAAGGGTGAGTATAGTAGAATCTTCCAGATTCGCATCTGGGGGCATGGATCTCTTCCCAGCCACCCACAGTTCAGCATGCTTCCAAGAGCGACGTCTCGCAAACAGTCTCATTACTTCTTCTGCGGCTTCTGGAAACGATTCCGTCCTGGCTACGAGCTTGGAAATCCAGTCCATTGTAGCCTTGTTGCTGCTCACAGCGAGCTCGATTTCTAGCTGTGCGGTTCTGTCTACCATGCCGTGTAGAACCGCGATGGCGTAATCTAAAACTTGTGCCTTATGTTTCACTTCCACCCCAGTTGGAGCCGGTGGTAAAGTGTGACGTAAGCGTTCAAACATGTTGTTTAGACGATCTCTGCACATCTTGGTATGAGACAGAGCCCCACTTTGCCCTCCTGAGTTGCCCTGCGACGTGGATATCGTTGGAGTCGAACTAGACATTCCTTTGCCAGCTGCCTTCTTGGACGTAGTCGCGGATTTCTTCTTCAGAATCATTCTGCCCGGTTTCTGAGACGTCGCCGGTTTTGATGACGGAACACCCTTCGCAGACACAACGGCAGTTGCCGAGCCAGCGCTGTGACGAACTCCTTTGGCGTTTTTCTTGTCATCTTCGGGTCCACGAACGAGGCTATCGGGAGTTAGTGGAGACATGAAAGGCGAAGTGCGCACTTCTTCAAGCTCTGCAAATCGTTCCTTCGCACTACCAGAAGGAGCATCCACTCCAACGCTTGTGTCCTCACTGGCGCTGGCGAGATTTAAATCTGAACTAGCATTGTCCTCATCTATCGCTTCTCTTTCCTCCCCTCCATCGGCCGACTCGGTATCAAACTCGGGACCCGCAGACAAAGAAATCTCGTATTGAAAGTCATTTTTCGAATTGCGAGACACATGGGGCAGTGGCCATTCCCCGGCGACAGCTGGGGTAGAACCAGTTGCGAGAAGGCCTGTCTCGAGGGTTGAGAACTCGGAAGCATAGGGTAGATTGAGCCTGGGGGAGAATTCTTGAAGCAGGGAATGTGCAGGATCGGGACGAGTACTAACCCATTCCATGGCTACTTGAGTGCGCCCACGGGGCGGCTGCAAAGGAAAGACGGAGGTAAGTGTGTGGAGACGCCGTCTTGGGAGCAAGGATGCGAGGACGCACCCAGAGCGAGTGCACGGTAGAGTAGGGCTTTTGCGCCTAAACGACAGAAACAGAAAGGTTGAAAATGGAAGTTGTTGGTGGGTGTGTACAATTTGTCGTTCCCGAAAACGACGGAGCAGGCGGCCGTTGTAATGCAGCGAGACCGGGACTGGCAAATGAGACAAGCTAAAAGCTAGGAACGCGAAAGTCGACCGGAAAGAGCCAAGATCGGCTGGAACGCAGGGTGTAGATTGCTGGCAGAAATTTGCCAAAGAGAGCGGGGTCGTCGGACGAAGTCGTTTCTGTCGGTAGCGGGGAGTGGGGGCGTTGGGCGTGCGTAACTGAAGAGGGATTTGACAAGGTAACGCGGATGCCGTGGGAGGCCCCGAGCGCAGGACGACCCCAGGAGCAGGGACGGTCAAGAGTGAGAGGCAGGACGAACAAGGGCGGAGGAACGAGGGCGGAGGAACGAGTACGGAGTAAGGAAGAAGGAGGCGGAGGGGGCCAGTGTGTGGCATGAGACGCGAACAGAATTGTTACCGAAGTACAGCATTGCTCAGGGAAAAACGTTGTGAGACGCGTGCAATGCGGGGTCCTCGCCGGGGCTGCGCCGTGGGACCGGCTGCGAACGAAATTTCAGAGTGCCCAAAGAGGGAGGCAAAAAATTAAGCAAAAACAAGCAAGCAGGGGTGCAGCGAGCTCGGCTCTCAGATCTATCGGCATCAGGAAGGTGGTCCGGGGCAAAGGCATCTGAGGGCACTTGTCATTTTAGGGCACCTGTCCGAATTTAGGCTTTCTGCTGTGTACCGCCCCCAAACACTACACTGGACTTGTCCCGGAAGAGAGCAGTGGCGAGATTGAGAGCCGTCTTAAACCAGAACTGTCATCTTGTAGGGCAGGTTTCTTAAGCAGAAAATTCAAGGGCAGAGGTGGATATGTTATTTACGGTGTATGAAGCACAGGCGGTTTTGCTGTACCCTGTACTGTAGATGTACTGTAGGGGACCGAGGCCTTTCGAAATGGGCGAACTCCGCACAGCTAGAAAAATATAAATGTTGTCTTTGCAAGTGGCAAGACTGCGACGAGAAGCTACCAATTCCCGAAACAAAGACGTGCAGTACGTAGAAGCCAAACGGCAATGTCCCACGCAACAAAGACTCTCTTTCCAGCAAATATCGCACACATTTAGCGATGAACGCAATTTGTGCGATCACCGGCCCAGGACGTCTGGCAAGGGAGGCATACCCAGAAAGGCAACACAATTCGGGGCAAGCGGCTGTCTGCTTTCGGGCCAACCACACCAACTTGCCCATAAACGCCACCCTCCCCACGACTGACAAACACTTTTGGCACGGCGCATTGTCCTTTGCCTTTTCCTTATTTTCGGCTTTGCTGAAACGCCTCCAGCAACTTGGTGCGTTTCCTTGTTTTTTTCCTGGATTTCTCAACGGTTTCTGCATCCACTCTGCACACTTCAACGCGTCCCGTATCTGCAGAGGAGAAAGTATCTCAGCTTCTGAGCCGCTTATATCCAACCACCCTTTGCATTCAATGGACCACACGTGCTCTCCCTATTGTATGCTCTCCAAGCAATTTGTGCTGTTCCCTCACCCTTCAAAACAGAAAACATTTGGCGCAATTAAATGCGGACCTGTGCGTTCTGTACTGTACCACTTGGTCCAGTACCGTACCACTTGGTACAGTACCCTTGGTACTGTACAGTGCCTATAATCCTTTTCCTCTGGTCTTCATCCCCCTTCAGTGTCGACCAACAGACCTCTCGCACCCGTCGTTGTGACAAAAATGACGCTACAGTATTGTACAGACCCTGCTTGCTCGCACTGGGCATACAGTATGCTCTGCTGCTTACGGCATTTCTTGACTCGCCCCGACAACCATTCGCACTCTTTCCCACACACAGCCTGGCGCTGGACACATCAACATCAACATCAAATTCACGCACGTGCCTAGTGTGAGGATCATTTCTAGCCATTATCTCTCCCAGAGCAGGCCGTGCTCAAATTCCATCACTCTCTTCGGGCACCTTTGTACGATACAGTACCGTACAAGGGTACCACCAGTACCTTCCCGTCCAAAGCACTTTAGACTACAGTACAGTATAGTAATTTACATCTCCTCCTCACTCCCTCATCATTACATTTGGACTCTCGTGACTTACTGTACGCCCAAGAGATTATTCTGTACAATCAGCAATCTAACAAACGAGTTCATGAGCAACTATTTCCATTGTTATCCACACTTTTCCCAAGTGTGCTTGAAAAAAATTACTAAATTACTTTCCCTTTTCACTGCTACGAAACTCTATTCTTCAACCTGGTCCATTTAAGACTGAAGTTGACTGATCCTAAGCGCCGCTGTCGCCCAGTTGAGCTTCCGGCCGCCAATGCATGCACTCACTGTGCCTCTAGCTCCGACACTACCCCCGCGCAAGCTACAGCTGAGCATGTTCTGTTTCTTCTGCAGTAAGGGTACCAAGGGTACTGTACAAAAACCCTTCTCCTGCATGATCATCCCGCGACCCCTACTGGATCTACCGGGCACGCCCAGATACGCAGTTTTCCCACGTTATCCACCTTTCCACCTCAGTTTCCTGTCGGTAGGGTTCCAGCCACCTTCGGGTCCCATGCATCTCCCGAAGTCTGCGTCCCTGGAGAATTCCATTTCTATAGAACTACCCTATTACACTAAATCCAAACTGCTGGATTGCGAAACTCGGCAACCGCTTTTCGAAAGAAAGCTAGTCGCACTTACTCACGCGAACAGCAGAGCTGCCGACTCGGCCCCGGTGATCACTTCTGAAAAACTCTGTAGCTTTGATGTGTACAATTGCATCACACCGTAAGCATAGCTGCGTCAGCATCCGCAACGAGAAGCCTGTAAGAGACGTATTCAGAGGACAACAGGCTTGCGAAAACAGGGTCACGAATGTGAAAATCTACATTTAGGCGTTTTTTACGGTAGGGTAGCTTACACTTCGCCGCACGGAAATCTCCGGAATTGTTCTGCACCCAGTGTTTCTTTGTCTACCAATAGTAACCATCAGTCTTTCACGCCGTGGTCTTTCATGTACTATTTCCTGTTTTCTCCTCCACACCCTGAGACTTGCCGAACCAAGATTATACGCCAGTTAAAAAGCGGACAACAACAACACCTACTGTACATGTGCACTATTGCTCGATTCATTCGGACCAGCGGACCAGTTTCAGTTCCCAAGACTTTCAAGCATCCCTTCTAGCAGACAGCTGCCCACGAGCACTCCTGCGCCTCGTTTTGTGTGCAGTTCAGTTCTTGTAGATACATGCAGTGGTTCACTTTAGTCATATCGCAAATAGTGCGGGTACTTCACTGAAGATTCGAGCTGACTGAAGAGATAGGCAGACTGTCCCCTCAAAGTTTACGTGAAGAATGACCCGCAATCGAAACTCAAATCTAATATTCCCATAGTGTGGCATTTCAAAGTAAAACGAAGAGAAGAAGCCTTCAAACTCTTGTTAAAAAGACTTTGACCACCGTGAACAATGGAACATGCTCCAGTCCATAATAAATGTTACGTCGCCCACGCTTGCCGCGAAATATAACGGCTGCCCCAATGGCCTTTTGGTGGCGTCGCCCTTCTTCTCTGACTGAATCATGGGTGGCTGGCGGCCCCAAGGGGCCACTCAGCTGCACAACGTTCAGCTATCGCCAAATCACCCGCAGAATGTAAGATAGGAAGGATAAACACAGTATTAATGTCTTTCTGTTTACAATTTGTATAAGAGAATGTTTGTTACGTACCACTCTTATTTTGGAATTTTTGTTACATACCACTTTTTATGAGCCCCTTTTCTTAGGAGCGCTAGAATTATGCGCGAATACTCGCTGAAGCGAATATTGTAGCTCTCCATAAGGATAGAAAGGTTCTCAGTCGAAAGGGCGATGTGTTTCGTCCTCTTGATAGACTAAGGGGGGCCGTTTGGAGAGGACCGCTTTTTAGAAGCTTCTAATTGTCTATCTTTCGCGGTTGCTTCGGCGGCATCTGTGGCAGATCCTGTCGCGCTTTGATCCATTGATGGACTCTGCGCATATGAACCGATAGGGGCGTCCATGACGCATATCGATACAACCCATGCAGTCTGAGGCTCGTTTGTGCCGATGAAAAGAACGGAAAACCCACTTCGTTTTCCGTCAAGACGGGTCGATCCGGCACTGCTGTGATCAGGCGGATGTAAAACTCGTAGAAAACTCACGTGCCCCGAGTTTTCGGTATGCTGTGAGTTTTGCCAAACGCGTTGTTTAAGAATTTACGTTTAGAAAATCCGAGCAAACTCGCCGCCAAAACACGCGTTTTCGTGACTTCGCGGACAGCGTTAATGCGTCTGTTTCATTTATTTCCTTTATTTTTTGTCTGAATCCCACACTTCACTCGATCCCTGATCAATAAAGCATATCGAAAAACGGGTCCTTGTTCATTCCTTGACTCCCAACTCCCGTCTACAGTAGTACGTACCTCAATCCCATGCCGCATCCATTCCACTTTCAATATCGAGAATTATCCGTCGCACATACTAGGCTCTTATACTCGACCTATATTCTCGTTTTCATTTCCGAATGGGAAGTACATTTGTGTAATGCCCAAATCGAGCTATGGCACGCGCCCAATAGCCGTGGTAACTGGAGCGTCAAGGGGGTTGGGAAGAGCCCTCGCCTCACACCTATCTGCACAAGGGTATTTAGTGATAGCTGGCCAACGCGCACCTGCCCCTAAATCATGCAATTTCGATATAAGACACTTAAGACTGGATCTCGCTGACGAAGACAGCCTTGAGGCTTTCTGCCATTATCTTCTCGACAATCTCCCATGCATCGATGTCCTCGTCAACAATGCTGCAAGTTGTCCTGATCATCCTGGTGACACAGCAAAGTCCGCCTCCTATTGGAATTCGGTTTTGCAAGTGAATTTTTTCGCCTCCGTGCGCCTCACCGAGAGTTTGCTTCCGTTACTTCAACAATCACTCAAATATCCACGAGTGGTCAACATCTCATCTGGGGATGGGGAGCTTCTTTTCTTTTCAGAGTCCCTAAAACCCCGACTGGAGCGATTGGAAGCTTGTAACTCAACCATTCAGCTCATACGAGAAGTGGAGAGTATCGCCAACAATATCCTGGACGACTCCTTCGGGATTCCGATCGATGAGCTCATTTACAACGGGCAGCCAGCTTACAAGTTGTCAAAAGCGCTGCTAAACGGATATACAAGGTTCGCAAGTCGCCGACAGGAACGACTACAAAGCCCTGAAGTGGCCTTTGTATCTGTATGTCCCGGAGATGTCGATACGGAAATGGCTGATTTTGATGCTATTCTCATCTCACCAGAGGACGCTGTTTGGAGATTGGCTTCCGTTCTTGTGGCTTCGAAGCCGTGTAAAACCGGCGTCTTTCTACGGGAGGGCAAGGAGATCTCATGGTAGTAAACGACTGATGCTATACCACCTCGGGCCTGGGCTCTCTGCTTCTATATGTGCAGTCTGCATTCTGGACTGTAGTTCAGGGTTTGAATGACTCAAAGCGAGATATAGCCTTGCGGACCTCGTCAACGCCCAGTATCGCTTTGGTCCTATCTTTCTGCAGCGCACAACGATCAATTTGAATCAAACTACTCGTCATGCCTCGCGCTACTTCGAGGGCGGCCATACGGTCAGATTTCTCAGGTAACTTTGATGCAATCGCCTCCATTCCCTCCCTCTCAACCGAGTTATTGAAAAGTCTCGTGAACTGCCTTACACCACCCCAATTTTCGTCCTCAATCAATGCTTGCAAGTCGTCGAGCTGCTCTCGAGCTTTGTGCACGGCCTCAAACCCCGCCCGAAGCGCGTCGTTTCGAGCGTTTTCAAACTCTTTTTTCGCCCTCTCGTTCATTTCTCGTTCTTCGTCGAATATTGTTCTGGGAGGTACAGCCCTCACGGGGCTTGGTGATATTAGGGCCATGAAACAAATATACGAGGCAAGGTGGGTGAGAAACAGTCGCCTTCGACTTTCGCCAGGAGGTTGTGTGCTTCCGAGCCGAGTGATACATCGCTTCCGGGGCGAGCGAGCTTCATTTCCGGTTCTTGGTCCGAAATTGTTCTTGTCGGTGCAGCGCTTACTGGAGTTGGTCCGGGTAAGACTACCAGACAATCGCAGGATACAAGCCGGATGAGAAGTGCTTGCCCTGGCGTTTCGGGAGGAGAACGTTAACGGGGCATGCTGTTGAGGATTGCGAATTGAAACCCCACTGAACTGTGAAGAGAATCTTAGCGGGGGAATACCCTGAAACACGAAACACTCCCGCGGAGCCATCAATCGTGTTCTCACGTACTACCCTTCGAAGGGTAGACTTGACTCGGAATGAATCCGCGGTGTTATTATGCTCAGAAATTATCTCTACTGTACGGTAATACATTGTCACCCTCTGTCCGCATGCAGCCAGTACAAGCATATTTCACGTGCGCCGAGCTCAGAGCAGAGAATCGCACGGGAACAGTAAAACTACAACACAGTGCGTACAAGTTGGTACAGTGGTGGCAATAATTATAAAGCACCTCCGAAATTGCACATTGTCAGCCAATGAAACGATTTCGCACCATTCAGTGCCTCACTCCCACATGCCTTTTCCACGCTGAAAACGAATCAGGAAACCGTTTTAAAGATACTTTAAAACTGTGTACTGTAGAACGCATTTATTGATTATGGGATGGCAATATGTATAAAGCACTTTCACAGTATGCATTGTCTAGGCAAGAAAAGAGAACGGTAATGCCGCGAAACCCGTAACCAGTATACCATCACTTAGTAGAGACCTCAACTCTGCCAGTGCTTCGACAACCAGGCTTCTCAATCATGCCTCGCGGGCGCTCCTTGACCACAATCGAAAAAGGAAAATTTTCGGCATTTAAAAAGGCATTATGGACTGACTCCGCTGTAGCGTTGGAGCTCGGAAGAAGCAGAGCAGTAGTTCAGAACTACTTGCGTAATCCGGGACAATACGGGGTTGCGAGGAGGTCAGGGAGACGTGCAGAGATATCAACAACGGCCAGACGTGCAGCCATTCGTATGGCTTCAAAGGGAGAATCTACGTCAACGGAAATATGCAAGGCTCTCAGGTTACCAGTTAAAGCACAAAGACTGAGGCAGATTCTTCAAGCGGAGCCCAATTTGCGTAACAAAAGGATGTTAAGGGCTCCCTTGATGAAGCCACACCACATGCAAAAACGAATTGCATGGGCCAAGGAGAAAGTCACGTGGAACATTTGTGACTGGACAATGTCGTATGGAGTGATGAAAAGAAATTTAGCCTAGACGGTCCAGATGGTTTTGCCTATTATTGACATGACTTGCGCCGTGATGAAAGACTTTTTTCAAAGAGACAAAACGGTGGAGGTTCTTTGATGGTGTGGGGAGCATTTGCTGGAACAAAAAATGCGAGTTGGCCGTTTTAAACGGCACCAAAAACGCTGTAATGTACAAGCAAACGCTAGAAGACTATCTCCTACCTTTTGCAGATCAAGAACTCGGAGAAAACTGGGTGTTTCAGCAAGAAGGCGCAAACATTCATCGCGCATATGCAGTTCAAGAGTGGTTTAACGAGTAAAATATTGTGGTGATGGACTGGCCTGCTAAAAGCCCAGACCTGAGCCCTATCGAGGACCTCTGGGCGATATTAGCGGGCAAGGTATATCACAGTAAGAGGCAGTTTCGAGACGTGGGTGAGCTCCAAAAATGTGTGGTGGATTCCTGGGATGCCATTGGTGAGGATGTGCTTGAAAATCTCATCAAGTCAATGCAGAAGAGATGCATTGAAGTCCTAAGTACAAAGGGCGCGAAAAAAGTACTGAGTAATTTTGTTTGGAAGTACTGTGTCGGTGCTTTATAACTCTTGCCATCCGTTAATCAATAAATGCGTTCTACAGTACACAGTTTTAAAATATCTTTAAAACATATTTCTGATTCGTTTTCAGTGTGGAAAAGGCATGTGGGAGTGAGGCACTGAATAGTGCGAAATTGTTTCATTTTTCTGACAATGTGCAATTTTGGAGGGAGGTGCTTTAGAATTATTGCCACCACTGTACCCCCCAAAGTTGAACACTTTAACCCGTTGTTGAACAAAACTAAAAGTGAATTTTATATCCAAGATTTAACATAATGCCAAAAACGATCAGATTGATGGCAATCCTGAAATGTTAATGTTTAACTCGGCGTAGCTTCGCGCGAATTGCAAACAGGGCCCTTTTGTCACCATGTTCGGATTTGGTGATGCAATAAAAACCTACATGACGCCGCGCATTGCAAGTAAATGCAAACTCGAGCGACCAGCTCGTCTCCAAAACAACACACTGGCAGGAATAGGAAGGTCGCGAACAGTATCAGAGGCAGGCCGACGCTTTGAAAAGGCCGTCGCTGCGGTCGACAGGCACGGCGCCAGTCGCAGGAAAGCTGCTACAATAGCTGGACTTCCACTATCTACTTTCCAATACCAGTACAGAAAGATTCCATCGTGTCCAGAGGACATTATCGCGGACATATCTTCACAGCGAAGAAGAAAACTTCATCGTGGAACTCATCAACAAGTACTCATCAAGAAGATTCCCACTCGGTCGAGAGGACATGGTCGATGCAGTGCAGATGCTTGTTCAATCTCTACCGGTAGAGCGTCGTGCGAAGCTCCCCTTTATCAATTGCAGACCTGGCCGACGCTTCTTAAAAACTTTTATTGAACGCCACTCTGACTCTATCAGCTTTCGACGATGCAGTAAGGAACAAGAGGTGAGGCTCAAAGTGTGTAATGCTGACACTCTAATCACCAACGTTTTGGAAGTTTCCCGCATCATAGATGTACACAAAATTGATAAGTATCGAATCGCCAACCTTGACGAAACAAGAATTTCCCCGAACAAGGATTGCATCCAGTCCGACCGTCGAAAACGTTTCGTCACTCAAGCGACTCGGGCACAGCTTCGCTCCCCTGAATTTAAGAACATCGAACGTGTGAAAATGATGCACGTCACTTTCGCAAGTGGTTGTGTTGGTCGCTGTCTTTTTTTGTTGAAAGGGAAACGCCTCAAATACAGAGTTGTTGATGGCAACGACAGTGGCGAGATAATGGAAACGTTTGCAGATTGTTGCCCAAAAACAGTATTGTGACTGTGAAAGAGGATGTAGCTGGAGTTGATTATGTGAACTTTTACAACTGGGCAAAACTTTTTGTTGGCGATTGCAAAGAGTTGACGACTCAAGGGAGGAAAGTACTTTTGCTTTTGGAGGGTTATCGTTGCCATATGAGATTCAGGGCTTTACAAATGTTGGAGGAGGGTGGCATAATTGTTTATGCGTTGCCGGCGCATACAAGTGGAGTTTCTCAGACGCTTAATGTGGGAGTCTTCAGTCCATTTAAAGCACACCTGCGAGACCTTGTGTAATGTCTGTCGTCGCCAATGAGCCACAACGAATTCGATGTGTTTGATTTCTTGAAACTCGTGAGAACAGCATACGAAAAGGCTTTTACAAGATCGAACATAACGTCCAGTTTTGCAGAATCCGGCGTCCATCCTCTTGATTGGAGAAGTCTTACCAACACACCACGATCGCTGTCCTCTGAACACGCCAATAAGCTTGCTACACTACAGGATATTGAAAAATTATCGACGAGAAACGGACAAAACAGCGTCAATTGATAGGTTTCCGACCTGTTGTTCTGCAAAATGGTTTTGTCGATGGCACAAATGGCTTATGGCTCACCTCGAGCGAGGCGCTAAGAATGGCGAGGGAGCGAGATGTTTTTAATACTGCGAAGCGGGCGGAAAAAAGTCGGAAGGAAGCAGAAAAAGCCGAAAAGGACGCAATAGCATACGAACGCACAATAAATGCTCGATTAGAATTCGAGAAGCGTTCGTTACATGCCCGAGTTCTTATGTACAGCGTCCCAAACGTTTCTGTTCGTCCCATGCCATTGAGACGGCAGTCGGAGCGGAGACTCATTGCTGCAAAACGGGAATTTGCTGCACGGAAGGCAGCACAAAACAGTTAACGAAATGGAGTTGACAGATCAGCGCCTTCAATGTCAGGAAAGACATTTTTGAGAAAAAGGTTTGCATTTTGTTTGCAGTGGCCAACCATTTGGCTGTTCAATTCTCAGGTGCAATTGGGAGTATCCGAAAATCGCATTTTGCTTCGGTACCTATTTGCTCCAGACAAGACAATTTGATACTGCATGCCTGCGAAAATTCCGAGTAGCAAAGTGTGTTTATAGCAAATGCTCGTCAGCAGTATACGTACGAGCATGAGTCCCACAGTGCCTCCTTCTCTTCGCTATGCGCTCAAAATGTCCGTCTTCACGACAGCCCTTCTAGCATTACTCCTCAATAACCGTCGCAACCAGCAGATAGCATTTCGTCATCGCCTGTCTTTGGAGGGCCAGAGACGCAGCGACAGGCGCATGCGACGCAGAGCCCTTCAATCCCCTAGCCTTTCCACTTTCGCAGTTGTGCTCGGTTCGGGTTGCGATCAGTCGCTTATAACCCTCACAGGTTTTGACAACCGTGCGTTTCAATTCTTACTAAGACTATTTGCGCCATTTTACTATGGATTCAGGCCCTACTCGTCGGATGGAAACATTCGTCCTCTGCACTCTACAGTCAGTCTAGGGCGTCCCCGGAGCATGTCTGCTGCTCATTGTTTTTAGGATTGATCCTGACTTGGCACCGAACAAGAGGTGCTGAGTTCGTTCTTTGTCTGATGTTTGGAATCACAGGCTCGGTGTGTTCTGTTTTTCTCCGTTTCGGTCGTCGAATTCTTCTAAAAGTACTTAAAGAAAACGCTATGGCCAGGATCACAATGCCGACGGCCACAGACGTTGAACGCTTCCAGACGGCGTTTAGGACAAAGTACTCTATGTTGAAGGACGTTTATTGTGTGGCAGATGGCCTCAAATTGTACTTGGAACAGTCGGGTGA